GCCACCATGCTGCCTACACCATTAATTCATTTCATTCATTCCATATTAACAAATGCAGACTGTCTCTCTGTCTTTTCACACTCTGTGCATATGCTGGTAAAGATTCTCAGTCATCCAGGACATGGTATATCCAAAAAACATTAAAGGCTAAAACAACTGGACTTCTAGCTGAAAATGTTTCACTTCTCATCCGAGGGGCTTTCTCAATTCAAAGTAACAAGGAGTGTGGGGTTCAAGTTATACAGTAAGCTGAGGTGTTCTGTAAGCTTGCAGACTGACACATGCAGATTGCCCTCTCACTCCTTACAAAAGAGGATCGTTAGGGTCTTTGCTAGTCTGACTCACAGATGGCTGCACTCTGGTCACATGAATAAAGGTCTTGATTGGTGTTAAATTGACTGGCTATCAGACCTAAAGTTGCATTATAGATTTTTGAAAGCTGAATTCTGAAACCTCCTCCTCTGTTGGTTAAGTTGGTTTCTCTCTTTTTACATAAATAGCTTCCTTCACACCCCCCCCCCCCCCTCTCAAACCATCTGTCTTCTTGGTCCAAAATGTGCACATTTTGTTCCTTAAAAGAGAGTCCCTTATATTCGAGATGGAGGTAAATCGCTGAGTCTTGTCCTCAAGAGCTGGCTCTTTGTTGAGCCGTGCGTCTATGAAGAGGCTGTTTGGTTTCTCCAATATAGAGATGTGGACAGTCCTCGATGCACTGGACAGCATGCACCACACCACTCTGTTTGTGTTTGTGTGTTTTGTTCATAGGGTGGAGCAGCCTCTGTCTGAGAGTCCTGTTGGGTTTGAAATGTACACAACAGCCCAGTGCAGGACTCTTCCTTCACCGTTACATGTGGCCACCAGAGTTGTGGCAGTGCCTGGGTTTTCAGCGGCATCATTCTACAGCCTCATTGTGCACAAATGACTGACAGACTTTTGGCCAATTTGTTCTTTTGCAAATGCAATGCAGAATAGCTAACTGAAACAAAGTGTACACTTCTGTTCATTGTTCAGTTCATATATTTGTTTTGTTTTTCTCTGTCACTTACACATGGACACAAACACATAAGTGACCAGATGAGGGAAGAGGAGGGGAAGTAAATTGACTGTGATGGTTTGTTGTAATGTACAGTAAAAATGGAGCTGCAGTATTTCCTTCCTTTGCTCACATATGGTTGTGCACCTAACCATCCAGGCTGTCATATTGTAAAGTTTGCAGATGATACAGCAGGGGTTGGATGCATCACAAATGATGAGTCCAACTACATGCAGGAGGTGGAACATCTGGAGAGCTGGTGCAGAGAGAATAACCTTCACATCAATGTGAAGAAGCCAAAGGAGATGGTCATGGACTTCAGACAGAACAAACACACCTACCCCCACCTCCCTTGAATATAGGAGGATCTGTGGTGAAAGTGGTCTCCAGCTGCAAGTACTTGGGTGTACACATGAACGACAACCTCAGCTGGAGTAACAACACCACCAGCCTGATCAAGAAAGATCATCAGAGACTCTACTTCCTCAGGCGGCAGAGACGAGCTGGTCTGAGAAGCTCAGTCCTCACCTCCTTCTACAGGTGTGCAGTGGAGAGCATCCTGTGCTCCAACATCAACATGTGGCATGGAGGCTGCACAGCTGCAGAAAGAAAAGCTTTGCAGAGAGTGGTGAAGGCTGCACAGAAGTTTGTTGGAGTCAGTCTCTCCACCATCACAGACATCTACAGCTCCAGATGCAGGAAGAGAGCCACCTGCATCATGAAGGACCCCACTCACCCAGCACACACACTTTTTGCCCCACTCCCCTCAGGAAGGAGGTTGAGGAGCATTAAGTGCAGAACCACTAGACCATGTGTGTCAAACTCAAGGCCCGGGGGCCAAATGTGGCCCTCGTTGACATCTTATCTGGCCCCCCC